AGAAAAATTAAACAACAAGGATATTGGTCTCCTTATTTATATGCAATGGTGGATGAATTTTTGTCCACATGTGAAGCTTGTGCCAAATACAATGTGAGGAAAGGGATAGCGACACCAACAGGCCATATACCAGTACCAGAAAGGCCCTTTAAGCATTTGGTAATGGACTATGTAGATATGATAAAGCGAGTACAAGGCAAAAGATACATGCTTGTGATCATAGACAGATTTAGCAGGTGGGTGGAGGCAGTACCATCAGCAGATCTGGGAGCAGGAACAGTAATTACATTTATAACAAGAGAACTAATTCCTAGATTTGGAATACCATCAGAAATCCAGTTATTCTTCCATTATAATCACATATGCCTGTGTGGAAAATACCTACGTGGCTAAAGTAGACAGACCCTCAGATTAGAAACATCTGGAAAAATACAAGTGGGCTTCTTTCTTTACCATAACAAGACTTGGGGGTGGGGGCCCTTCTCTCTAGGGAGAATTGTATGCACAAAGGAACCATTCTCTGTATGGAAAACGCCTTAAAGTCAAAACTGTATAAAAAGAGAAGCAGAGAAACATTCTGGAGATGTTTTCTGCAGAGAACTTCTCCACTTTATTCTTGATGATGTAATAGAGTGTATCTTCTGGCATCAAAACTCAAGATTGAGTGTGGTTCCTCAGATTAGCGGCAGACAACACTACATAACCAGCTTTATTAGAGGAACCGAGTATTACTGTCCGTGACTGGAGTTCACACTCTTCAGCCAGGTGTATCTAGATACTGACATTTGTGTTCAGTCAAATCAGTGATAAATCAAGGCCTGCCTCATATCTCAAAGCACAACAGATTAGATAAATATGGATATCACTGCATATCACAGTGCTTGTTTGCTGTTTGTTCGACTAATACCTTTCTCATTCATATTTTTCAGAATATTTTCTTTATTCAGTTGAAATGAGAGGAATTTCTTCAACATGTATTTTAACTGTATTTGTAAAGATTTATATTTTATATTATGTTTTGAAACATTCATTTAGCTGTTATGTATTTTAAATGTTACCAATCAAGTGATTAACCCTTTGTTGATTCAGACTATACTCTTTCTCAAGCTCAGTTTAGAAAGGTTTCAACAATTTCACAGTAAGAATCATCAAAGAAATAAAGGTTAAACTGGGATTAGAAAGGTAAAGGAAGAATGGGCTGTGGAAGAAAGAGTAAAAAGACAAAAAGAGTAAAAAGATTTACAGTGACAGAGGGGATGAAAGAGAGAGAAAATAAGGAACACAGGGTCCCTCAGACAGGAATAAAGGGGCCACTGTTACACACATCAACATTTATTTTAACACTGTGGTATGTTAGGTCTCATCTAGGGCTATATAATGAAGAATTAAAACATTAATGCAAGACAAACTTATTTGGCCAAAAATGACCTAAAAATTTAAATTCTGTCATCATTTACTCCATTTACCCTCCAAACCTGTACGACTTTCATTCTTTTGCTGAACACAAAAGAAGATATTTTGAAGAATGCTGGTAAGCAAACAGTTGCCAATAGCCATTGGCTTCCATTGTATTTTTCCATACCATGGAAGTCAATACCAACATTGTAAGTTCCTTTAATGACTTTAATGAGCAACGCAGGAGCTGTTTCCTGGCATCATTCACCCTTCAGATGTGCTTAGAGTCTGACCTGTTGAATCACTTTCTAGATAATCCAGTCTTTCAAAGTTTGCATTTACATTCATTCATCTATAGCAGACGCTTTTATGCAAAGCTATTTACAAATGACAATAATACACAAAAGAGCAATGTATCCAAGCCAAAGGAGAGAACAATACAACTGGAGCTAATCTGATTCTTTTAGATGTAACAACAGAATGAAATTCAAAGCAAAGCTTCATAGTTCCTGTCTATTTCCAGAAATATATCAGATGCAAACACTGCTATGTGGCATCGCATTGCATTGACGCTGTGTGCATAAGCCCAGTTCAAATATTGCTAACAAAAGAGTCTCATGACAGCTTATAACTCATAAAAATGGGCACTGTGTCCCAGGGGATGATTTTTAATTATTACATTTTAAAACTTATTATAATCTAAACCAAGAATGAAAGAAATATGAAACAGTTCAATATTTGTTAGGAGTATTATTTGCACAAATGATCTCAGTTGTAGCTTTATTTCCATCACAACCAACAATTTTGCCTCTAATTAAACTTTCTGTTTTTATTTTGTAAATAAATAAGTAAAGTGAATGTACTTGGTTGCCAAGGTGGCAACAATGGCTACGTTTACATGCACAATTTTTGGTTCAATCGGACTGAATTCATTCCGATTGATGAATCTGAATGTAGTGTTTACATGAATGCTAAAGACGGGTTGATGTGCATGTTTACATGTCACAAGCTTCAAATCAGAAATGATTTTTTTTTACATGCGCACACTGCACAAAAATAGAGTTTCTCACTATTTGCACATAATAACCACTCTCCTACATGGTTTATTTATTTGTTTTTAACAGCAGAATTGATATTTATTAATTTATGCATAAATATACATATAAACTGCTATGCTGTGCTGCTCATATTTATCACACAGTAAAAATACCCCTCCCAGCGCCCAAAACGGGTTGCCTGTGGATGAGAATCCAAAACAAGGACTGGTGGGAGGTTGTCCTGCTCCACTTCACAGTTGTGAGTGAATGGAGAGTTTTATAATGACAGGACATGCATTTATACAACACTTTATTCAGAAGGAAGAACCGCTCGTTCTGCGAGTCATGCCTCATTACGCTATTTCTGCGTCATTGCACATGCGCAGTTCTTCCATTTTCGGGGTTCAATCCGATCGAGTGTTTACATGCACTCTCAATCGTATTAGAAAAGGAATAAACCACACCCTTCAATCCGATCGAAATTTCATTCCGATCGAGCTCAATCGGATCGATTAAGGTGTTTACATGAAGGTTTTTCAGTCTGATTGAGCCGTCAATCCCATTACAAACGGATTATCTGGGTGCATGTAAACGTAGCCACTGTCAGTAAAAAGTTTGTTTGTTTGTTTTTAATGAAATAAAGGATTTTTACAAAAGGACCATGTTGATGGATCTTTTCCTAATATTAAAAGCTATGCAAAAAAAAAAAAAAAAGTCTATAAGGTCTATAATAATTGGTCTAAAAGATCTATACAAAAATTAAAAAAAATATTAATTGGGTTTATTCATAAAATAAAGGAGCAAAAAAAAAAAAAAAAAAAGTCTATAAGGTCTATAATAATTGGTCTAAAAGATCTATACAAAAATTAAAAAAAATATTAATTGGGTTTATTCATAAAATAAAGGATATAGATCGTGTTTTAGCTATACTGGCATCACCGTCATCATGCATATTTTCATTTATAGGAAAGAATGAGACACGTCTAACCTGTTCCCTTTCAGTCGGTCACTCCCGACGTCACGTCGGTTGACCGACGAAATTGGGATCTCGCTTAGAGGGACCAATTCACTTCGAGTGTAAACTAAACGAGCCAATGCACATTGGCATGCGATTATTGCTCAGGGAACGAGGGTTACATACGTAACCGAGACGTTTTATTACATGAACAATTGGCCTACTTGTGTCAGACCAAGAAGACACGTCAAACAGGCGATTTAAAGAGAGAGAAGACATAAGACAGCTCTCTTTCCCAGTCTTTCACTTCAGCCATGGAGTTGTCAGTGATCCTGCTCAGCTTTACAACCATGATGTTAAGTATGGAGGGTGAGTTTGATTATGAGTATTTAAGTATGTGTGTTTGCAGAGTCAAATGTGAATTGTGTCTCAACTATATTTTGTTAAAAAAAGAGTTTCTAATGCGTTCACTACACTGAATCAATAATTACCTTAATCACTATTTTTTGTTATTTTCCAGTAAGAATATCAAAACTTCCTTAAAACAGGGTGCATTTACATAAAAGTAAAACTGCATAGGTTATTATTAGCATATGTATTTACACCTTTCAGGTGAAGTCCGGATTAGGCAAGTTCTGTTTGAAATTGTTCACTCTGCAGGCTCAAATGCACAGACGGTAAACAATAAGAGCAGCACCTACACCACCGGGCAAAAGTTTGGAATTGTTAAGATTTTTTCATGGTTTTGAAAGAAGCCTTTTCTTAGGGTTTGCACAAAAATATTGGGCAGCACAACTAATATAAGCATATTAAAATAAGTTCTGAAGGATCATGTGACACTGAAGACTGGAGTAATGATGCTGAAAATTCAGCTTTGATCACAGAAATAAATTACAGTTTAACAGATATTCACATAGAAAACCGCTATTTTAAATTATACTTTAAATATTTTTTCACAATATTACTGTTATTTTACGGAATTTTAGTTAAAAATAAATGTAGTTTAGGTGAGTATAAGAGACTTCTTTCAAAAACATTGAAATATCTTATTCCAAACTTTTGACCGATAGAATATATTGTGCACATAATTTAGTGGCTGCAGACTGTGGAGTAGCTCCTCTAAATACGCGTGTAGTGGGCGGCACTGATGCCCCTGCGGGTAACTGGCCCTGGCAGGTCAGTGTCCATTACAACAGCAGACACATCTGTGGAGGAACCCTGATCCACAGCCAGTGGGTGATGATGGCCGCTCACTGCATCATCTCGTAAGAAGCACTGCTGCATGACTCTTCAATCTTTAGCAGCTTAAAACAATAGTTCACCCCAATGTGAATATTTGCTTAACATTTACTCACCCTCAGGCCATTCAAGATCAGAATGAGTTTGTTTCTTCTTCAGGTTTGTAGAAATGTAGCATTGCATCAGTGTCTCAGCAATGGATGCTCTGCAGTGAATGGGTGCCGTCAGAATGAGAGTCCAAACAGCTGATAAAAACATCACAATAATCCACAAGTAACCCACACCACTCCAGTCCACCAGTTAACATCTGGAGAAGACAAAAGCTGAAATAAATCCATCATCAAGACGTTTTTAACATCATGCCATTGCATCCAGCTGAAATATGAATTGTCTATACATAATATTGCTTTCTTCAAATCTGTTCTGATGAAGAAACAATCTCATCTACATCCGGAAATGTTACGCCCCTCAACATACTGTGATGATGCCCTGTCCGGCCAGAGCGACGAGACAAAAAGATTAAAACCCATTATAAACGAGGCATTTGTTGCATCCAGTGGGGACATAATTATGGATTATGAATTATGGACTTATACTGTCTTTTTACGCGTTGCCTTGCATCGCGCCGCGTAAACATAAAACCATGTCTGCATTTGTGATCGGAGAAATGACAAACAACAAGTGCTATTCTACACTGCTCAAAAATGAGCCGTTTTAGGTAGGCGTGGTTGACTCGTAACTTTTTTTTTTCTCTTAAAGAATATCTCTTTGGATTTGAGACTTTAGTCTTTGCAACTTTACAGATCTTCTTTATGCACCAAGAGCTTGTAACACTCCAAAGAGAAAGGAAAAATTTAAATCGCATCATATCACCCCTTTAGCACCAATCTTTCAAAGCACTTCATGACAGTGGAGGTAAGAGCTACAGGTCTGTAGTCACTGAGGCAACTGATAGGTGACTTTTTTAGGGATAGGCACAATGATGGAAGATTTGAAGCATTTGGGGACAGTGCAGGTGGACAGAGAGAGGTTGAAGTTGGAGGTAAAAACCTCAGTCAACTGGTCCGCGCAGTCCCTCAGTACTCTCCCTGGAATACCATCGGGTCCAGCCACTTTCCTGGGATTAACACTCCGGAACACTCTCCTGACGTCCTCCTTACTCACAGTGAGTGTGGGGGTCTCTGCCTCTGTTTGCTCAAAACGTGCAATAAAATAATTGAGCTCCTCAGCCAGGTTACTGCTGGTGCTGCTGGTTAGATCTTTAGGGCCCTTCAGGTTTGTGAGGTACTTAATGCCCTGCCAGACGTGCCGGGAGTCCTCCTCGCTGAAATGTCCCTCTACCCTTCTTCTGTAAGCTCATTGATGCCGTTCTTTAGGTTGGATCTGGCAGCGCTGTATAATTCCATGTTTCCAGACCTAAAGGCTGTGTCTCGGTCCCTCAACAGCTGCTTGACGTGTCAAGTCATCCGTGGTTTGCTGTTTTGATAATATTTGATCCGTTTCTCAACAGTGACATTATCAATACAGGTGTGAATATAAAACAAAACAGTGGATGTGAAGTCTGCCAGGTCCTGTTGTGCAAATATGTCCCATATGGTGTGCTCAAAACAGTCCTGCAGTTGTGAGATTGCATCCTCTGACCAGACCCTCAAGTATCTCACCTTAGGAATAGTTTTCTTAATAAGAGGTCTATATGCTGGGGTGAGAAAAAGGGAAAGGTGGTCAGACTGGCCCAAGTGAGGGCGGGTAGAGACTTTATATCCTTCCTTGATGTTACTGTATACATGATCCAGTGTGCTTTGACCTCGCGTTGAACATGTAATGTGCTGATAAAATTTAGGAAGGACATTCTTTAAATTTGCACGATTAAAGTCCCCAGCTACAATAAAGATCCCGTCGGGATGCACACACTGCAGTTTGTTGATTGCTACTAGCAAAAAGTTCAATGCCACTGTAATGTTAGCACTAGGTGGAATGTACACAGCTATGACAACAACTACAATGAACTCACGCGGCAGATAGAAGGGCCGGCATCTCAGTGTAACAAACTCCAAATCAGGTGAGCAATGTCTTCCCATGACTGTAGCATCTGTACACCACCTGTTGTTAGAGTAGATGCACAGTCCCCCTCCTCTTCTCTTGTCGGAGTCGCTGTTTCTGTCAACCCGGTGCTCTGTGCGGCCAGCTAGCATGATAGCTTCATCTGGTATCCCCGGGTGTAGCCACGTCTCTGTTATTACCATAACCGAGCAGTTCTGTAACAACTTCTGTGCCTCAATTGTCGTTGCTAGCTCGTCCATCTTGTTACCGAGTGATCTAGCATTTGTCAAAAAAATACTGGGTAACGCTGGCCTGTATGGACATTTCTTTAGCCGGGTCTGAACGCCAGCTCTGCAGCCGCGCTTCTGGCGTCGATCTCTGCGCCGCCTCTTGCGTCTTTCGACCAATATAGTAATCCACGGACTCCCCGCTGGTCGAGCGATCTCCGACGGAAGGTGATGGATGTAAAAACTCTTAGTGAAATGTGATTCCCCGCATAACGTTCCAATCCTTACTAAATCTTGCCGTTTATATGTCAAGGTGCTCACCGACAGAGATACCAACAGTGTAGACATAAAAAACAACAACAACCACTCGGAGTGCAAAGCCGCAGCATACATGTGTGCAGCCATCTTGCATTAAACAGTAAACAGTTCAGCCAATGCCTGAATGACCTGCTCTGAGTTTCAGTAAATGTTCTGCATTTTATTTTTATTTTTGGGTGAAGTATTAATTTAAGTTTTAAATTATATAACTTATGTTTCCATAAGACTGGTAGCAAATTTACTGAAACTTTTCCCTATCTTAAACAAATGTTTATTCTATCGCTATTCGCAACAGTACTAACCTCAACAGCTGGACACTGTACCTGGGAAGACAAACCCAGATCACGTCTGCTGCCAACCCAAATGAAGTAAGAGTTGGTATTCAGTCCATCACCATCCATCCAAAGTACAACAACCCACTGTTCAATAATGACATCTCCCTGATGAAACTGAGCCAGCCTGTAACCTTCACTCCATACATTCGTTCGGTCTGCCTGGCATCCAAAGGGAGTGTCTTTCACAACGCCACATTCTGCTGGGCTACAGGCTGGGGAAACATCGGCAAAAACCATGAGTGCACCAGAACGTTCACAACTTAAAGATATGTGTTTGAAACGCATTTGAATGCACAGGGTAACATTTCTACAGTTCTAACCTCTATAAACACAACTCTGCAATAATTAATTACTCTGTAGATTTCATACTTTAATATATGTAGCTTTGACAGCCTGAGAACACCAGTGAATCTCTCGAAATCTAAGAAAATCTAAGAAAAACAAAACAAACAAAAAAATCTAAAAAAAACAAAGCAAAACAAGAGTAAAATTGTGTGTGCATTTTTTTTTTTATTAAGAAAGCAATCTATTCAGAACAATTTTAATTACTGTAATAAAAAGTCAATTATTTATAAATCATTTTACTCACTTTAATTAATGTTGATTTAAAACTACTTTAACTTCATTGCATTAAGATAAAAAACACATAGTTACTTAAGTAGGAATGAGTGGGATAAATATTGATATTGATTTTTGTGTGGATGAATCTTGTGAAGAAGACAAGAAGAGAAGAAGAAGAAGATAGAACAAGAGCGTAGAAGAACAGATGCGCACATTTAAACTGAAATGCTCTGATCTACCCTGCGAGGCATACGTTTGCATACACTTCCTGAACGTCTCATAAAACATTCAAAAATGTCAACATCTGGGAGTAAGAGAAGAGCAGACATATGAATAAATTTGAAAAGTGTGACGGTGCGAAAAAGTTAGGCGCGTTATGGTTAGGTTGAGGTTAATTCTGCATAATTATATCTTAACTAATATATCACATATCTTATAATTATATCACAATCTTATTTGTCATTGTTGGGTTTTGGGATGTGCTTAGAAATGGGGCATTAGATCTTTACTAATTAAGCGTTTTTTAGGGCCAAGTTTATTTTACAGTCAAAAAAAAAAAATCTATGTATTAAAAAGCAGCGTGATGGTTTCAAGGGATTTTTAAATCAAAAATAGTCTTTTTTTGACTAAAAGTTAAACTTTTTAATCTCAAATTAAAATCGTATGCTCTGAAGAACAGTGTGTTGAATTTGGAGGATTTTTAGCATTTTTAGCAGAAAAATCCTTATATTTTATTAAATTTTAAGGGCGAAAATGTCCTTTTTTCATGAAAAATTGTAGGGACATCAATCAGTGTGTTGTGTGTGCGGGGATAATCACCCATAGAAGACTTGCTGTCCAAGTGGACCCAGGGGGCTAGATACTTACTACTCCCTCGGGTGATATTTTATTAACACCGCTAGCTTGCCCGATATACAAAACAAAGGAAGAAAAGGCAATTATCTGCAAAAACCCCTTAACACACCTTCCATCGCACCATACACGCGCTATAGAAGCCAAACCTTCTTGTCTTTATTTATGGATATGATGTAAACACACAGATGAACTACAGAAGAATGCAGTTTCCCAGGAAATCTGTCGCGACAGTTTTAGTAATATTGTAATTACCGTCAAACAATTTTTTTTTTTGATTTTGTGGTGAAATGAGACATGGGCATGTTTTTGTCATTTTTTATTTATGTTCTTTCTTTATGAGTAGCTGTATGATTCTCATTTATTATTTATTCTTATAGTAGCCTTGTTATTTTTAATGTAAGAGTAGGTGCGGCCATTTGTAACTTGAATATGCGAATGTAGCTTCTTCTAGTTTTTTACTTATAGTGGCTAAGGAATCAGAAGTCTTGCACATTCACATAAAATAGCTTACTTCTGTGTTGCAAAATAAGGTGGATATTTTCTTATTTATATTTATTCTTTACTTACTTTCTTATCATACATAGTGTTCCCATTTCACATGAACAATGCTAAAAAAAAAATGAAAAAAAAAAATTTCACCACCGATTGTGGTCACAGCTGCTAGACTGAGGGTGCTATGGATCTTCCATTAGTGCTGTTGTGTTCCTAACTCTCAGAGTCTGTGTTTGACAGAACCATTGCCGGCTCCGCAGGCTCTTCAAGAGGTGGAGGTCCCGGTTGTGGGCAGCTCACAGTGCACCTGCCAGTATAAGCCAGTAGGTCATGCTACAATCACAGCACAGATGATCTGTGCAGGGAGAGCAGACAAAGGAATCTGTCAGGTGAGCACAGAAGCTTTTTTCCACCACAGAAAAAAGGGTAGTTGTGAATTCACAATCTGCACTTTTTTTTCTTGCAGTTCTGAGAAGAATTCAGAATTGCTAGGTGTCAGCTTGCAACTGAAAGATATAAACTTGGAATTCTGAGAAGAAAAATCAGAACTGTGAGAAATAAACTCAGAACTGTGTGAAAAAGGTCAGAATTGAGATATAAACATGCAATTTTGAGAAGAAAAGTCCAAACTGTGAGATATAAACTCGCAATTGTGAGGAAATAAGTTAATTTTTTATTCTGTGAGAGAAATAATCTTCCATAGTAACAAGCCTTCCACAATTCTGACTTTTTTTCTTACAATAGTGAGCTTATATTTTACAATTTGGATATTTCTTCTCAGAATTCTGAGTATATCTCATAGCACTTTTGACTTTTTTTCCTTGAACTGCGAGTTCATTTCTTGCAACTGTGACTATTTTCCCCCAGAATCTCAGAAATGTGAGAAAAAAGTAAGAATTGTGAGATACAAACTCAGAAATGCCAGGAAATAGTGAATTGTCAGACAAAAAGTTGTAGTTGCCATTTTTATTTTTTTGATTCCTTGGCAATCTTTTTTTTTTTTAATACACTGGCAGCGATTGAGAACTGGGGTTGTTAAGCTTCCAAAAGGCAAAAAGCACCATAAAAAAGTAGCAATCAAGCAGTGATCAATATAACAGTTGTTGTAAATTACAAGTCTCCTGAAACTGTATCATGATTGCAGCTGCATCAGGAACGGACCAAAAGTGTGAACTATTCCATTAAAGCAACGCAGCAGTTGTGTTTTCACTGCTCCTCTTTCTCTGTCTGCAGGGAGATTCTGGAGGTCCGTTACTGTGCAAACAGGGTTCTGTGTGGGTCCAGGCTGGAATCACCAGCTTTGGGACGAGTCTGGGCTGCGCCAAAGAAGGTTTCCAAGAGGTGTTTTCACGTGTCTCTGAGTTCCACACGTGGGTCACGGAGAACGTGGAAGGAGCCGTCATTGGCTTCGTGACCTTTTCGTCTAACGGCACAGACAGCAGCTTCACATGCTCTGCCACACTTCAGCTCTCACACTACTCTAATTTGATCATTCTCTTCATGATGCTCATCTCACACTTACAGTCACTTTAAACTGACTCACACACACGTGCAATGGGGCAGAGATGGGCACTCGAGTTAGTGACTTGGACTCGAGTCGCATTTTTATAGGCTTCAAACTTGACTCCGACCTGAAATGTCTCCAGACTTGACTCGACGCGAGGGAAAGGACTCGTGAAAATTTTAAAAGCAACTCGAGTCTTTTATCCTTATATAACTGATATTCAAAAGGCAGACCGCATCCGCACCCCGGCATCCATCCGGACTGCGAGCCGTAACACAGCACCATTTAAGTGAACAGCCCGTCAAAACAGCGGAGCGAATCACATAACAAGTGCTCAGGCTCGTTTATGGTAATTATCTTTCAGTGCTATATCCTCTAGTATTTTTATCAAAAGCCAAACGCGCTTTATTCAAGCCCTTTCAGCTCCGTGCGCTTTCTCTCTCTCACCGGACGCGCGCCAGCGCGGCGCCAGTTTAAAGCTGTGGATGACGCGGTTATTTTAACAACAACAGAAACAACAAAACACAGCAGAAAACAACAATGGTGCAAATAGTTATTTTCTATACTATCTATTTATCTATCTATAACTTATGACTCTGACTGTTCAAACCAGATGTGACAAGACGTTTCTGATCTACGTTTAGCATTATTAATCTGTAGGCTAAGAACATTTCAAAAGAATCATGTAATTATAATTTGGAAAATTGTTGTTAGATGGCTAGGATAGAACTTAAACTTTGAAATTGCTAGTTATCTTTCTTTTCTGCTCAAGATGAGAAGGTTTTGATTATTGTAGCTACATTGTTTTTAGATAATGCTTTTAAGTAGGCTAAAATATTAAAATAGTACAGATTTCGGCAGGAAAACCCTGAACAGAAACAGTTTTTTTTTCTGTCACATGGCCTCGCATGTATCTAAATGTAAAAATGCAATACATGTAAAACAAACAAAAAAAATGTTTTGTTGTTGTTGTTCGGACCTCTTCTTGGAAGAAATTATAGAGGCCACGCCTTGGAACTTTCATTGAATACCCCTGACTTATATAATAAATAAATACTTTATTTGTATGGTTTTGTAATATCTGTGTCACATATTTCCTTGTGTGTCATGGTAGATCGGACTCTTATTATATAATTTCATTTCAGAAAAATGTTTTGAACATGGTAATGGATTAAAACATAGCCTGTAAATAACAGGCTGGATGTACAATAACCTTACATCTTAACAACTCTCTTTTTTTACAAAGCAGATCATAGAATATATATTTTGTCTTTAACCGATAAAACAGCTTCGTAAATAGGAAGATTTCAATACATGAGGATTCTGAATGAGATTTTTTTAGAAAGCCATTAAATGACTTGAGACTCGACTCGGACTAGTGACCAAAGACTCAAGACTTGACTCAGACTCCAGCGATAAAGACTTCAGACTTGACTCGGACTCCAAGTTAAAGACTTGTGAACATCTCTGCAATGGGGTACGGGTAACAGGAACTTCTGACAGAGAAAATGCACAGTGAAATTCTGACCGACTTGAAAAAGTGACAAAATGCCAAAAAAAAAAAAAAAAGCATCTGAAAAATTAAAGCTCATGAGTGAATCACCCAAAAGTCCTTGTTCTGTTTTCTGTGACCAGTTAGCCTCTACTGGAAACATAACTACATCATTATGTGGGGAGAAATAATTTTTTATTGCAATCAACATACACATTTCAAAAGTGTCTATAGTGGATGTTACTGGTGAGCAGTTTTTGCACTTATGAAGTGGGAAGTTCTGATGGTTCAAGTTACGTTGGAAATATCATGCAAACTGAATGCAAATGAACACCACCACAATGTCATAACTGTGAGTGAGAAACTCTGAACTTTCTTTAAGCCCAGAGTTTCTGACCTGTCAGTGAGAAAAATTTACATGGACAGAATCGATGCAGCATCTGTAATGACGGTGAATTTCTTGAAATTCATGATTTTTTTTTCATTTATAATAAAACCAGCAAAGTTGCATGTACAAAAATATGACATTAATGTACAATTATGATAATTATGATCAAATATGTAATGATTACATTTACAGCACCTAAAAATGGACAAACACAAACACATCTGATGCACATTCTTTATTCATCATTTTGTAGAGGCAGAGTGCGAGATGAGAAGTCATAATTACAACTTCCCAACTTGTAAATACCCACCTCAAAAAATGTAGAACCGAAAGCTCAGGTGTCACAAAGCCTGTCAAGAAATGTTAGGGTCAAATTTCACTCCAGAGTCATAAGAAAACAAGGACCAATTAGGGCCATTACGTTTTTTTTTTATGACATTTTAGCCTCTAGATCTCATTACAATAATGTGCTGTGACATTTTACTTTTGATATTTTAAATGAAATACGTTCATTACATAACACAGTCTTTTTTTTATTATTTTTAAAGTCAAACATTAAAAGGCAGCAGAACACATACTACAAAGATGTGTACATATTTTTAAATAATATTTCATTTTTAATTTAATATATTTAAAATTTCATTTTTTGGAGTCAAATGTGACATTTTCTAGAAAGGTTTTGTAAAAATAATTAAAACTGATGAATCATTAAAAATCATTAAGATGCTAACAGATTGCTTTCTCTAGTTGTATATTAGTCCTTTTCTGTGCAGTTTTATAATAACTATCAAGTCTGTGATCTGAAACATCTCAAGTGCATAATGTAATTGAATAATTAATAAAGTAATAACACTAATACATTTGCTTCAGAGTTATATTGATGAAACAGAGACCATGCATGAACTTGTGCATGAAGGCAATCAATCAGTGTTTTGGTGAATTGTTTCTTTATTCTTTTGCAAAATATCTAGTGAAAAAGAAAACAACAAATGCAATACTGTAAAGGGTTGTAAACACAAAACAGGACAGATCATTAGACTGACTGCATGAAACGGGGGTGGATTGAATGATTTAATCCGACTGGTCAGTTACAATGACTCTTATGTTCTTTCACATCATTGTTAAATGACAGTGGGAAAATGCCTAGTGGAGCGATAGTGGCTGTGGCTCACAGAAATGATTCAACAGTGGAAGTGTGGCCAGTTGTGTTTCTTTAATAAGCGTGGTTGGCCACAAACAGAGACTCTCCCGCCGCTGATCCGGTGTCTCCTTTGGAGACATATTTACCGACGGCTGCTGCGCTGTTGTTCTGTAGAGGAAATACACACATGAGATTAGTAAAAACAGGAACAGTGAGCTGGCTTTCAAAAATGTTTGCAGATATCTACTGTTGCGCAGCACAAAGCAGAAATACTGTGTGACTAAACTAAATTACAGAGTGCATCAGTTGGGTTCCAGAAGTCAAAATCCCGTTAATTTTCTCCATAAGGGAGCTGATTTTAAACACTAATGTAAAAACTTTTAAAAATGACCTACTGTTAGCTATGAGGTTGTTATTTGATGATATATGCTTTTGTTGAAGCTGCATTATTTCAATTTATTTTCAAAATACTCATGTTTAACATTGAATTTCTTGGTGAAAAACAACCTTTCCCAACCAACTAACCTTACCTAAATAACCACCAGTCAGGAATCAAAACAAACAAATCACGCAAAAAAGATCTTTAGCTGCCCATCCCCTCCCATGAAGCACTGCGAATGACATAATCAAGTCTTAAACGACTTATTTGTGTATATCTGTATATATTTTGGAATAAATGTAAAATGTACTGTTTCTATATAGAAAATCAACATCTTTAAATGAGTAA